ACCCCTGAACCCATTAAGAATGGGTATAAGGGTATATTGTATTTGTGCGAAATGCAAATGTATGTAACAGGATAAAGGAAGCATCTCCGACCCCATAAAGTATATATATTCTTGATCAGAATCAATAGCCGAGTCGATCTAGCCATGTCCGTCCGTCCGTTCGTCCGTATGTATGAACGCAAGGATCTCAAAACCTATAAGAGCTAGGGACTTGAAATTTTATATGTAGGTGCTCCTATTGCCTGCGCAGATCGAATTTGTTTCCGATAATCGATAACTTACTCCGTTTCCAAGCAATCGATAAAACTCGATATCGATGTCCTGTTTTTTTAGCAAATTAGGTAAATTAGGTAGAGTCACCAAACTTGACATATAGCTTCTAAAATAGAATATATTTATGCATTTGATGTTGGAAGAAGAGGGTTCAGGGTATCCCCTAGTCGGGAGCTCCCGACTAGAACCTCTTGTTCATTTTCACTTTTCGTTCCGTTTCGAAAGCGACACCAACTTGAAGACTTCCTTTGTTTGGGTTGATATTATTTAAATAACCTTAAAATGGATCGTGCAAAACTATTAAGCAATGAGGAAAAAGGCAAAATCAAAGTTTTCAAGGAGATCGGCCTTTCTATACACAAAATTGCAAAAGAAAACATGTAATAGGGTTCTAGTCGGCAGCTCCCGACTAGGGGATACCCTGAACCCTCTTCTTCCAACATCAAAAACATATTGAAAACGCAAACTAAATCTGTATCATTGCGCTCTTACAGCCGAGAGAGCTAACAAGCTAAAAATAGAATGTACTCTCACCTTCGGTTCTATGGGGGCCGTGTAAGTAATTATGTTTGTATATGTGTGAATATACATACACAACAGCATATTTGAATGTGTTGTTATCCAGTGCTCTGGCACAGTCTCTGGCTGGCAAAGAAATAACTTTTTTTACTTTTCATGCGCTAATCATGACCTATCCCAAATTTGTGTTGACTTATGAATGCATGTTTTGTACTGAAGTTGGCTTCATTAAAAATATGTATTTTTAAGTCGATGCAAATATATATGCAAATTAAGAAATAAAAGAGTGCTAAAAAATACAAATCAAATATTAATTTGTATAAATTAATAAGAATTTGGATCCAACGGCGACTTTGTAACTTATAATTCGAATAATAAATAATTAAATTAAAAAATACAATTTATAAAATTTATCTTTAAGACAAGTTTGCTCTTTTATTTCTTAATTTAATTTTTATTACTTAAAAATAATATTCATTAAATTAATAATTAAATTTAAAGAAGTTGTATAAATACTACGGAGTACACAAGTATGCAATCATATGTGGATACATTGGGGTAGGTCATGATCAGCGCTTGAAAACTAAGAAAAGTTATTTCTTGCCAGCTAAATCTAGAGCAGTGAATAGCAACACATATATACATATTTTAAAGTTCTTATACATGCATAATTCACGCATACAACATGCTTGCACGCCATTGGCTGAGACAAGAACTTTTCTCGAGAACACACTGTCCAAAAACAAAAGTGAAGTCAATCTATGTGTGCTAGTTTCTTAACATAGTTATTGCACAAGATGCGCCTTGTGTAAAAATTATTTAATTCTTATATTTTCCTGTAAAAGTTATCGTTAGTATCTAGGGTAATATATCATATTAATAAGGCATGCATTTCATGGATAAACCAAAAGTGTTTTGCGTCGATCGTAAGTTCAAAACTTTTTAGCTCAATGTACTTCGAAAACGAATGGACGCAAAACACTGAACACTGAACAGTTGCTGAATCAGCAAGCCGCGACCTCGGCATTCCTTCGTCTAAATGAACAGCAGTCGGCTGCCATGTCGTGCGAAATAGTAAAAGCCAGTTTAGGAAGCCAGGCTAGAAATTTTTCGTCGCATGCAAATGGGGGTTACTCATCTTAGTGTTTAGATTGTCTTTGGTGCATCTAACTCGCATGACTCTGCTGCTAAAATAAAGGAAACATCAGGTGTTATAGCCAGTGCTTCTACAGTTAAACGGGTTATTTCGAAGGCAGTACACCTAAAACGTCAAAAACTAAAAAAAAACAAGTAAGAGGTTCAAGTCGGGAGGTCCCGACTAGAGAATACCCTGAACCATCTTCTTCCAACATCTAATGCATATATATATTCTATTTTAGAAGCTATGTGTCAAGTTTGGTGACTCTAGCTCTTATTATTTACCAAAATTGCCCAAAAAACAGGATATCGATATCGATTTTTATCGATTGCTTGAAAACGGAGTAAGTTATCGATTATCGGAAACAAACTCGATCTGCGCGGGAGCTAGGAGCATCTACATCTAAAATTTCAAGTCTCTAGCTCTTATAGGTTCTGAGATCCTTGCGTTCATACATACGGACGGCGGACGGACGGACATGGCTAGATCGACTCGGCTATTTATGCTGATCAAGAATATATATACTTTATGGGGTCGGAGAAGCTTCCTTCTGCTTTACATACATTTGGCTTTCGCACAAATACAATATACCCTTATACCCATTTTTAATGGGTTCAGGGTATAAAAATCACCACTGAACAGTGTTTGAAAGGAGCAGCGGTTATTGTTTTGCCGAGCCAATATGACCATACAGCGGGAGCGCCACCGAGTTGCATTCTCCGACGAGAAAAAATGTAATTTGGAGGGCCCGGATGGTCATAACTATTACTTTCACTATTTAAGGAAGAAAGAGCATAAAATAATAGTTTTTAATAACATAGTTGAGTGGCGGCGTAATACGGGAGCAACTTTATATTATGGGACGCTCCATTGCCAACTTTTGGTTGAAAATGAACGCAGTCACACAAAATCGTCTTGGAAAAGGCTTTTCCTGCGGCGAGACATTTTTTTTGGAACCGTGCAGTGGAAGTTTCAACATGGTATTGGAATAATGAGTGTGTTGAAATAATGAGTGAAATTTGGTTTTACAACACTGTGTTGTAAATAACTTAACAACACAACAATGCACACAAACATTCCTTCATACAAAATTTACAGTGTTTAGGTATGCTTTTGTTATTTTGATACTTTAGTCTTGATACTAGAATGTTTCTGTCGTTTAGACCATCTCTTCGCTGAGCATCAGAGTAAACAATTGGACGCGCTCAATAAGTAAAATAATAAATGTAAAAACTAATACAAAATTAAACTAATTGTTGTTATTTAATTGTGAACGATATTAGGCTAAATATTTCAATAGGTTATGGGCCCAGACATCGCAAAGCAAAATAAAGAAAAATCGTGCACAATTAAATTAAAAAAAAGAAAAAACATTAAAAAACATATTTGGCAAGTGAACAAAAAATATCGAAAGCAAACAAAGTACACGTTTCCACGCAACCTTTGTTTTAAAAGCGTTTATATGTACGTGTGTATATCCGGCAACCCGTAATATACATAAAACTTCTTTGCAGGCTCACGGTGACCCTGAAGAGGACAAATGTTCGCCGTGCGCAAATAACTGAAATCATTTAAAAGTGTGTGAGTGTATGCACACAATAATTCTATAGGACAACGTTTAAGGAAAATAAAAAAATAAAGCAAATTCAAAAATATTTCCCCTTTTAATGGAAAGAAAGACTCTATAGGAAATTTCGTATACAGGATCTTCTTGCTCACAGCGATTTTGTATATGTTATTGAAAAAGAGAAACCAAAAGAGATAGACGTGAAATGGTCTAAGGCAGAGCGAGCATCAAAAAATATCATAATTGAATTTCTTAGCGATTCATTTCTGTCATTTGCTGATAATAATAATTCTGCAAAGCAAAGTTTAGCTTTGCAACTTTCCATACGGGAGCAGATATTCACATTTATATTATATGGCGACACTCCACTTATGAGTCATTTTAATAGATTTGGCGAATTGATGAATGAGTTAATAGCATCCGGAGCTAAAATTGAAGAGGATAAAGTGTTACACTTACTATTAACTTGTTGCATTTGACGTTATCGGCAGTACCAAGGGTTTACTTAGTTGGTTGCGTGCGATATTATCGGCCACGTCGATATCTTTTTGTCATATGGTCAGAGTATGCGGGGTGAAGCTGGGCCCAGACTTGCGTTCCACGGCGCCAAAAGCGACGATTGCTATGGCCGCCCGGTTCGCTCTTAAAGAGTCTATGAGGAGAGTGGATCGCATGCCCTTAGATATGCCCTTGGCCGTCATTTGGGCCATTGACCCAAAAAAATGCAGCTGTGCGGATGGGCAGCAACGGTGCCCGCCTCGCCAATGTATGCGTGTGCCGAAATTCGGCGCCGATGATGTTGCTGCCCAAATGCAATAGGGAGTTCGACCTTGTCAGCGGTCCACAGCGGACGTATCGGCTTACAGTTAAAAATTTTGAAGTTGGATATTTTTTTTCGACGGCCACGGAGCATATGCTTAAAAAAAAAAAAAGAAAAAAAATCAAAGGCATACGTTTGTTCATGACGGGCTTTCTTTATTAGTTAATTGCTTAATCCTTATGTGCTAACGTATTGCAAAAGAAATAATGTACAAGAGCGATAATACACGAAACAATAATACACCAGAAACACACTGTCGTCATTTAAAACCACGATAAAAGCGATACTCTATTAGAGCAGCCGCAGCCATTCTGTGGCACACAACGCTTTAATCCCGCGACGGAGGAGCCATCACGGACGGAACTCACACGACGAAGAGGCGGCCACGGGCGAGACCACGCCCATATCATCCGAGTGAGTCTGTTCCATTTCGTGCCACCTCGCCTGCGTAAACGGCAGGGTCAGACGCAGACTCCTCATTTTTTTTTTGTCGTTAAATTTAGTTTTTTTTTTGTATTTATAAATTATATCTATACATACATAGGCACTTACGCCGAGCTTCACTTTAGAGTGCGAACGGTGAGGGAAACTCCAAAGGTGATGCATCTGCGCCTGTAAAATATAAAAATCTAAAATTAACACTTGCGCGAACTATGCTCACATACTTACCTAATTTGAATTTACGCATTTATATCGCCCCTTACCACCCCCAGAGAGCTCTTTAGGTAGGGTAAGGTAGAATTAAGCGATTTAATACATACAATACATAATACGTGACATACCCAGTTTTAAGTAATTGTGTGGGCCATTGTTCCTAAATCGGCGCAACGATTGCCTCTAAAGTGCCTCCTTGCGCGTTTCTATTGCGGCGACTAGCAATATCCTTGTAGTATTTCGTCGCCTGTTCCATTCAGTGTTGTAAAAAAATAAAAAAATTAATTCTATAAGATAAGAGAAAAATTTAGGAATTAATGCACTTTGTCAATTAGTATAAATATATGCAACAGTAATACGCACCTGGAGAAGAAATGTTCACGTGCATGAATACGAATTTACCTGAATAGAGACCTCGTGCGAATTGGAAAGAAATAAAAGAAATATTAATGCCAATAATTATAAGAATACACAAACCATTATACGCACCTGTGAAGTTAACGAAATATAAATTTGCATGAGATTCTAAATAGCTGCAAAGATAAATGCCATAAGCGATGATTATAATTGTTATAAATTATAAGAAAACGCAACCAATTATACGCGCATATTGAAAGAAAGCATGTCCGGCTAAAGTAGTATTGTTGGGGAGAGTGAGCATGATGGTCGACACGGGCTAATGAAAGCCATTTAGTGGACAAAATGAGGGAGACGAGTGTAGGTAATCGTCTCATGGTTGGGCGGGTACGCTGGGTCCGGAACCGGGGCCCGATCTGGAAGAGTAAGTTGGATAAATAGTGTTTTTTGTTAATTTATATTGAGTGTCTCACCTTTGTTGTTTACATTTTCATAGTTGTTACAGCTGTTTATTTTGTTCACGAGTTAGAAGTTCCGATTGTTTGACGTTATCGATTTGTGGTTCGTTTTGCATAGTGTTGTGTACGTCTGTTTTGCTACAGACGTGTAGTTTCGTTGTTTTCGATTGTGCGGACTGCGGGCCAGGGATGGGACTACACCCAGAGAAACCGATGAGCCAGCTGGCGCGGCCCACCGAGAAACAAGCAGTTCCGTAACAAACTTTTCCTACTACCAATTATGGGGTGGTAACTGCCATTAAAACTTTGTCAATTGAAAACTTGACGCTGGCATTTGTGAAAATTCGCTTACTTGATCACGAGACCAAGCTTCAGAATGCTAGTACAGATACGAGCATTACAATTTTGCAAGATGAAGCTCTAAATGGCAAAAAGGGCAACAAAACAAGACCGTTTCATTTTAAATCTAAATTGAAACCCAGGTACATAAACAATTTTAGAACAAATATTCAATGCTATTTTTAATGCAAAAAGGGACACTTTAAAAAGGATTCTTTTAAGTGTAAAAGTAGTTTGCAAAACAAAGACGAAAGTAATGCCTCATTCATATTGGATTCTGGACCCTCAGATCATATGTTAAATAATGTGAATCTGTTTGTGGAATATATTATTTGGAAACCCCAATTGAGATTACTATTGCGAAATTAGGAGAATACATTAATGCTTCTGCTAAGGGTGTTACGGAACTGCTTGTTTCTCAGTGGGCCGCGCCGGCTGGCTCATCGGATTCTCTGGGTGTGGTCCCATCCCTGGCCCGCAGTCCGCACAATCGATAACAACAAAGCTACACGTCTGTAGCAAAACAGACTCACACAACACTACTCAAAATGAACCGCATAATCGATAACAAATATTCGGAACTACTAACTCATGAACAAAATACACAGCTGTAACAACTATGAAAATGTAAACAACAAAGGTAAGACACTCAATATAAATTAACAAAAAACACTATTTATCCACCTTACTCTTCCAGATCGGGCCCCGGTTCCGGACCCAGCGTACCCGCCCTACCATGAGACGATCACCTCCACTCGTCTCCCTCATTTCGGCCACTAAATGGCCTATATTAGCCCGTGTCGGCCATAATGCCCACTCTCCCCAACAATATTATTTTAGCCGGACATGATTTCTTTCAATAGGTGCGTATAATTGGTTGCGTTTTCGTAAAATGTATAACAATTATAATCATTGCTTATGTCATTTATCTTGCAGCTGTTTAGGATCTCATGCAAGCGGATAATTCATTAACTTCACAGGTGCGTATAATGGTTTGTGTATTCTTATAATTATTGGCATTAATATTTCTTTTATTTCTTTCCAATTCGCACGAGGTCTCTATTCAGGTAAATTCGTATTCATGCACGTGAACATTTCTTCTCCAGGTGCGTATTACTGTTGCATATATTTATACTAATTGACAAAGTGCATTAATTCCTAAATTTTTCTCTTATCTTATAGAATTAATTTTTTTATTTTTTTACAACACTGAATGGAACAGGCGACGAAATACTACAAGGATATTGCTAGTCGCCGCAATAGAAACGCGCAAGGAGGCACTTTAGAGGCAATCGTTGCGCCGATTTAGGAACAATGGCCCACACAATTACTTAAAACTGGGTATGTCACGTATTATGTATTGTATGTATTAAATCGCTTAATTCTACCTTACCCTACCTAAAGAGCTCTCTGGGGGTGGTAAGGGGCGATATAAATGCGTAAATTCAAATTAGGTAAGTATGTGAGCATAGTTCGCGCAAGTGTTAATTTTAGATTTTTATATTTTACAGGCGCAGATGCATCACCTTTGGAGTTTCCCTCACCGTTCGCACTCTAAAGTGAAGCTCGGCGTAAGTGCCTATGTATGTATAAATATATTTTATAACTACAAATTAACTAAATTTACGATAAAAAAAAAATCTACTCCTCTTCAGGGAGTGCAATTAGGAGTCTTCTTCTGACTCTGCCAGGGGCTCGAACGAGGATGGGCAAAAAAATGGAACGGACTCACTCGGTGGATGTGGGCGGGGTCTCGCCTGTGGCCGCTTCTTCGTCGTTGGAGCCCGGTCGTTGGTGGCTCGTCTCGTCGCCTTCAGGTTTGCGCCGACGCTTGCTGGCGGCGTCGCGGATATGGCTGGTTTGCGCCGCTGAACTGAATCCTGGCTTTTGAATGTTTCGTGGGCCTCTCTGGTGCGCGAGCTGGTCTCCTTGGTGCCGGAGCCGTTAATTTTTGGCTTATTTGGTTCGTCTCTCGTCGCACTTAAGTTTTAAGTCTCTTTTAATTTTTTATTATATTTTTTTTGTGACTCGAGCGGTTTGATTTAGATATATTTATTAAATGGCAAAAAAAACACAAAACCAAAACTTTTATTTGTCTGTTAAGTCATTTGTATTACGCGCCGGCTTAATTTGCAGAAGGGAAAAAATTCGAGTCTTTTGAGCAGATATGCAATATACAACTTTTATGCTCACTTCGAGCTGGCACGTCCGCCGTTAACCGCTGAACAAATCGCACTCCCTCCATTTTGGGCAGCCACACCATCGGTGCCGAATTTCGGCACACGCATACATTTGCGAGGCGGGCACCGTTGCTGCTCATCTGCACAGCTGCATTTTTTTGGGTCAACGGCCCAAATGAAGGCCAAGGGCATATCCAAGGGCATGCGATCCACTCTCCTCATATTCTCTTTAAGAGCGAACCGGGCGGCCAATAGCAATCGTCGCTTTTGGCGCCGTGGATCGCATGTCTGGCGTTGCCACCCTTCAAAAATTTGGGCTCCGCCGTGGGCCCAGCTTCACCCCGCATACTCCGACCATATGACAAAAGATATCGGCGTGGCCGATAATATCGCACGCAACCAACTGAGTAACCCTCGGTGCTGCCGATAACGTCAAATGCAACATCACCACGCAGATTATTGTAACGACATGAAGGACAGTTACAAGGAATCTGCGTGCGCATTTCATGGATTGACCCAGCCGGCTAATAACGATGCCCAACGTAGGCCACACCCACGACAAGTAATCTATATTTTTGCCGCTGACCCAAAAAAAAAGGGGGGACTGGCGCTGCCGCCGCCGTTGCCTGGCAGGGAGGTGAGCAAATTACGATTATGTTCATATATCTTTTGCGTGGAAGACGCCTAGCACGCGTCCCTGGAGATCTTCCAACTCGTAGGCGTTGGTTCCCACGGCTCGGACGACGCGGCTCTTCAAGAATTTCCGGGCGAACTTGGCATTGAAGGCTTTGCCGAAGCTGCTTAGTGCGAAGTTGCGCCTCCACACTTCCTGTCCCGGTTCCAAATGGAGCTGTCGCGCGCGGTGGTCGTACCGTTGGCGACTTCGCTCGTATGCGGTGTGCAGGTGGTCCTTGACTTGGCTTCGGATTACAGCCAGTCTGTCCTTTGCGTCAAGGTCAGAAATACTGTGGTCGGCCAATGATCTCAGCTTCCTGGCCAGTTTGTAACTGGAACCATTCAGGTACATCTGCTGTCCAAAGTCCGCGAAGAACGGAGTGACTCCCGTAGCGCTGTGGACCGCATTCCGGATCGCCACTTCCACCTCTGGTAGGTACGCGTCCCATTCCCGATGATCCTGACCCAGGTAGGTTCTGATTGCCGACAGCACTGTGCGGTTCACGCGTTCGGCGGCGTTGCTCTGAGGCGAATACACTGGTGTGCGCAGGTGAGTAATGCCAAACGCCTGGACCATCGCATCGAACGACTTTGACACGAATTGTCGTCCATTATCCGAATGGATCACTTCCGGCACGCCAAATTTGAAGAACACCTCATGCACTAGGAAGTTCACGACATCCGCCGCGGTGGCTTCCCTCATGGCCTTCAGGAAGGTAAACTTCGAGAAGTGGTCTACGACGACGAATATCCACGCATGCCCTCGTTTCGACCGTGGATTCTTCCCCAAGAAGTCGATATATAGCTTCTGGAAGGGGCGGTCGGTGCGCACTTCTTCCCCAATTCCGACCTGCATTCGGTAGTTCTGTGCCTTGGTCTCCTTGCATGTATCGCATTTCCGAACATAGTCCCTGACTTGTATGGCCATGTTGGGCCAATAATATCGCCTGCGCAGCGCGTGCAGCGTTTTCCTCATGCCTCCATGAGCTGACGTCTCGTCCGCGTGTGCTTGTTGGATGAGTCCTGCCGTCAGCGACTCCGGCACCCAGAGCTTCCAACTTGTGCCTTCGACCTCATCCTCCAAGCTCTCGTGCACGGTCCTCTTGAACAGAAGTCCGTCCTGCACTCTAAGGTCCGGCAACTTCCCTTGTTGGCTCATCACCTCTTTTATCAGCTCTCGATATTCGGTGCTCTCGAACTCCGGGGTCTGAAATCCCAACAGATCTTCCGGGGTCAGTTCGACCTCTTCCACGCTTCGGGACAATGTGTCTGCGACGACGTTGTCGGCTCCCTTGCGGTACTGCATGGAGAAAGGGAACGCTTGCAGTTCTAGGGACCACCTGGCTAATCTCCCGCTCAAGTCTTTGAGACTCGTAAGCCACTGCAGACTCGCATGATCGGTGATTACCGTGAACGGCATCATCTCCACGTACGGCCGGAATCGATGTATGGCCAGTTTGGCGGCTAGGCATTCCTTCTCGGTCACCGAATAGTTGATCTGGTGCTTGTTGAGTTTGGCCGAGAAGAATGCGATCGGCCTTTCCTGTTGTTCGTCGTCTAGCTGGAACAACACGGCTCCTACTCCGTAGTGAGATGCGTCGCATTGGATGAAGAATGGTCTTCGAAAATCCGCGTGAACTAACACCGGGGCTGTGGTGAGGGCTAACTTCAAGCTTTCTATGGCTTCTATGGCCTCGTCGCTCAACACAAATCTACCCGTTCTCTTCTTAAGGGCATCAGTCAACGGTACCGATATCTCGGCGAAGTTCTTTATGAATCGGCGATACCACCCCACCGTACCTAAGAAGCTTCGTAGTTCTTTGACCGTCCTCGGATTCGGGATGTTCCGGATCGCTTCTACTCTTCCCGGATCCATGCGCAGCGTCCCGCCGCCTATG